ATTCCACGGTACCGATCGATTACCGGCGGTCACAGAGGACGAGCTCGGAAAGGACCTGCACGGTTTCCTCCTTACGGCTTGTCGCCGGCAGTCCGCTGCGTTCGTCATCTTCAATGGATTCCCGGCCTTCGCGAAATCGGTTGTGCCAATCACACGAGAGAATTAAGAGGATTACGAAGGCCGGGAATCCATTGAAGATGACGAACGCAGCGGACTGCCGGCGACGAGCCGTAAGGAGGAAACCGTGCAGGTCCTTTCCGAGCTCGTCCTCTGTGACCGTCGGTAATCGATCGGTACCGTGGAATTTCAAACCATTCGTGGGCTGACATCGCTTGAACGTCCTCCGTACTCGTCGAACCTCGCGCCTTGTGACTCGACTCGATTTCCCAGAATGAAATGCTTCTGAAAGGCCGCCGCATCGACGACACGGACGCTTTCCAGTCGGCTGTGACCGACGCGTCGAGAGAGCTTTCCGATAATGGGTTACGGCCAGCGTTCCAAACTCTTTACGAACGTTGCGAGAAGTGCATCGCAAGTCAAGGAAACTATTTCGAAGGGGATCGTACTGAAACCGAACATTCATGGTTCGTTCGCATGAAGGCCGGTCGGGGAACTTATCGATAGGTCCACGTATGTTCGGACTCTCACCCCGTAGTCTAGCCTCCTCGTTTTCGGGAAAGTGATTTCAAATAATTGTTACCGTTCTGTTTCTGGGCCGATTGGTTTTTCGGGTACCTGCCGGGCGAGGATCACCGCAGGCCACAGGTAATATTTCAAATCTCTGCACGAGCTAAGAAAAGCAAGAGAGAGAGAGAGAGAGAGAGCTTCTAAGAAGAAAAAGATATCGAGTGGAACACATGCTCTCTGGGACTTAGTCCTAAGCTTTGTTATTTCATGCCTTCTCTCATCGAGTCGAAAGAGGGATCGGTTGGCTGACAGCTGTAATGATGTACGCATCTCCTCAAGGTCATTATCCCCATCTCAGTCGCTCCTTTGTCCCGGGCGTGAAGTTAAACTACGTATCGAGTTCTTTCGAAAATCCGTTTATTTATGTCAACGGACTCGGTGCAGGGGGGGGAAGAGAGGGAAGGGGGGGCTGCCAGTGATGATCCTTATAGACCGCACCAAAGTTTTTGGGAGAGAGTTTCAGTCCGATTTGTTGACTTCGAGGAAATGCTAGAAGCTTTAGCGCATCCGATGCGAAAACATCTCCGAGTCTTCGACTCCTGATAGTCAGACTCGAGAAAAGTGGAGGAATTGTTGACTCGGGACGACACGAGCTCGACCTCGTGCACAAATATACCGGCATTCCCTTCCGGCATGCCCCTTCAGATGGGCTGAAGTTACGTTCGGAATGTTCCCCGATGAAAGAACCTTTCACGGACTGTAAATAAGCATAAGATGCTAATGAGACTGGCAGGCCGGAACGGAGAGTAATCAACCGTGTCGAAAGGGCAGAAGGTATGGGGAATCCTCGCACAGAGACGCGATCGACTCGTCCGACCCCCGACGGATTCCCTCGTCCCGCGGGAGCGGACTGCTGGCCCGCGGAAGACTCGACCTCCCCCGCGGATTCACTGCGCATGTTCGGACTCGGTGAGGTGTTGGCAACGCAACAGCCCGAACGTCAGTGTGCCATGTGAGACCGAAGTGGGTGGAGGCGGAGTGTATCTGCTGGTGAACGATGATGCCACCCTTTGGAACGGGTGCATTTATTCTCGTATTTTCGTTCGCTTCGATATGTTCATCTTTCGCTTCCGTCAACTTCTACGTCGACCCGCAGGAGGCACGGAAACTCTTCGGTGAGCACCCAAAAAGATATTTTTGCAGAACTCCTCGAATCTCGTTTTGTTTGTTTACGATGATGTGCGAGTGCTTTATCGGCACATTTGAGCCCGTCGACCCGGAAATGGTTAAGTTGAAAGGGATCCGCGGGAAAGAGTTCCTGCCAAGGAAGAGCATTTCGGCTGTCAAGCTTGTATATATCTGTCAACTTGGCATTGCACGACGGTTGAGAGTCGCCTTTCGTCACCTTGTATATCCGCCATCTGGGGAGAGAATCCACCGTCGATCGGCTAATAACTTCCAGCCTCTCGAGGCACAAGTTGGAGAAAGGAACGAGAAATATATATCCGTGACCGGAATCCGGGACTTTTCCTTGATTTCCTCCGGGACGATCTGCGCGTGTTTGCTCTCGGTCGCATAGATGGAACTATATAAATACACCCGTAGCCCATCTACCTGATTGCCAGGAGACCCGGTGCAGTGAAATCAAGCGAAATAAAGCGAGCGACTCTTCCCCCGCAATCGATCCACGAAGAGGGCCATAATTTAATGGAACCTCGAAAACGAATGCAAGCCTGGAGAAAAATTCATCGCTCCTTTTTTTCACACCTTAAGACCCGTCCGACACGTCGGGCTTAATGAGAGTCAAGAGAAACATGGCCTGCTGAAAGTAAAAAGGAAGTTTTGGTGGTTCTCCAAATTGATGCTGGCACCGCCTTCATAAGAGGAGAGCATGGGAGCAATGGGTCTCGCGTGCTGGGAATCCATTGAAAACGACGATAAACTCGGGGGAAATGGGCTTTCCTACGTGTACGCCTCTCCGCCCATTCCCTCTAACCCTGCACGCAAGCATCTGCATGCAAATTTCTCCAGACCCTGCATGCACAACATTTTTTTAAGCTCTGCATTCTCTGAACTCAATTTGGATGCCTCATCAGGTATGGAACAAGTCGTCCTACATTGTTCGTCGTTCCGAGAAAGTCCCGTTACACGTGAAAGGGAGAGATCGATTCCAATCAAGGGAATCCAATCTCGGCAAGGAATCGGATCTCATATTCAAGAGAAGGAAAATTTCATTTGGGTCCCCATTCATCTCCGGTCCTGGACTTGTTTGCGAAGTCGAGTCTTCTTCCTTTCCCCCCCGAATGATCCGGCTTTTTCACGGGTATTGCATCGAGGGAAAGGCGCTTGGGGATAAGGTCTGGCCATCGGAGATAGTAGAACGGGAGGGGGAGAAAATGTAATATGAGAACCTGTGTATGGATTTATGAACACCCTCGTCGTTACACGGCTGAAAGAGGAAGCCCCGAGGGTCATAATGCCTCCTTTTTTGCGGGCCGTCTTCTCTCGTGGTCTCGTTCTGTCTGTATGGTATCACGCTTGTCGTGAGACGATAAATAGTTCAGATCGCTGTGAATCTTGACACGCGGCAGCATGTAGGGAAAAGGCAGAACGAGTTCGCCTTTCGTAACGCTCGCGAGAAAAGGAGTCTTTCTATCGTCGATTACGATTTTGTACACGTATCGTGCTCGCGTGCTGAAGCGAGAGATGATGTCTGTCTCCCTCCTCCCCTGCCCTCCGCCCACTCTCCATCGCACCAACACCACTGCTATTATGCCCTTCTGTATTATCTCTATAGAAAACTCGTCGAAATGCGAATCGAGGCAGTCGAGTTTCAGATAGCAATTGCATTTTGTTCGATGAGGTGATAAAATGAAGTCGCTGTTTAGTGACAGGTGGTCCTCAACTAGACTGGGCTTCCCCAGCGACTTCCCTCATTCCTCCTCCTACACGTTAGGCGATATCGAGGATGAGGCACACAAGATGATGGATAACACGACACCGAGTAAGTATCTTGCGCTGTGTGCTGTATAAGGCACGCGATATGCGATATCCTTACACTGAATCCCGCACGCGATATCATTCAGGCTTCCTTCTCTCCCCCTGAGAGTTCGAAGAGGCAATGAATGACACTGAAAAATCGTGATCAATGGAAGGAGGCTTCGGGTGATGGATCACGCGTCTGGGATTTGAAAAGGAACAATACCGGTCTTCGGAGTTTTGCGGGGGATTTCCTTTCTTTTATTTTGTTGTATGGAAACATGCTGAGCCTATGAAGTGGAGGAGATCGTGTCGCCCCCCGACTCGGCGGGCAAGTAAACCTTCCAGGTCCATCATCACGCGTTTCGCATTCTTTTAGGACTGATGGAGCGTGATTATCCGTCGAGTGACCATGGTACCAATCGTCGTGTTTATCATGTATTCCTCGAATAGAACATTTTCCAAAAAATTTTAAATTTCAAGTTTTCGGATATATGTATATACATAAAATATAGATGATAGAAAAATTGGAGATATTGGGAGAATTCTTGACTGACTGTTGTAAAAATCAAGTTCACCTTTCATCGTTTCATTTTGGACTGCAGTTTCTCAGTTTTAAGTACGCTTTTTGTGCTAGGACTGTTGAGTGAATTGGCAAAAACATCCTCTCAGAGCTATAATAACTATTTCATGCGCACTTATTGATGAATATCACGTTCCCCCCTGGAGAGTACAGGCTTTCTCATATCGTATCGATACCTTGGAGCTCATAGCAAGTGATATAGCGGCAATAGGATCTCCCTTTTCTATTGATTGCATACATGGAGCGAATGCAGTGTTGTCCTGTGTCCAGAGTCTCGTGATATGCTCAAAATCATTCTTGTGTTTCTCCTCGTTTCTATCCCTATGTATTTTATACCTCTCCAAAAAAATATTTACAGCTTTCTTTGAATGTTTCCTGTGTTTACAAGGATATATTCCTCACTTGGATTTTATCACGTAAAACTCATTATGGCTCGTGTCGACAGAAGTCAGCAGCACATGGAAGTCTCTATTACACACGACTCTAGTTCGCACAACTACGCTAGCATACAATAGCTTTCGCCCAAATACATGACCGAGATGACAGATGCATTTTATAGGGGGGATTTTCCCACGCGAACAAAGACATAGGATAAGGGGAGGAATATAGTGAGCCACAAACCGGATCGGGAGAGCGAGGGAGGGAGGTTATGAGCCAATAATTCCAGCCATGAATCAAATTTTCCCCAGGGTTCATTAGCACCGCTCCATTGCAACGGTTAATATCTCCACCCCTGTTGATGTAGGAAAGGGGAAGGCAGAGAAAAGAGGGAAGGGAAGAGAAATATATCCTGGCGACACTTCAAAAACCCATGTCGGGTAGAACAAAAGCGGGTAAACGAGGCAGGATCCTGACACCTGGCCCATTCATCATGGTCTCCCCTTGCCTCGCATTGTTCCACCATTCGAAACAAGACGGCCAGTGAAGCACTTCATCATTTACTCCTCATTAGGACCTTTCTTTCCTAGGGCTTCGTCCTATTATTTTCCTGAAACCCTGGCAGCCCTGACCTGTTTTGTCACTGGTCGCATTTTGTCCCCATCGTATAGTTATTGTCCAAACGGGTGACATAATACCCATGGATTTCGTTTCCCGACAGGACTGGAGGCAATGATTCATTACGTGCGTGAAGGCGTGTTGAACACTTACGCGTCCAGTTTCGTGGTCACGGTCCCGGGCAATGTCTCCAAATTGGTCTTCTCCTGGGAAAACACCTCACAGAAACCTGTACGTCTCATCATCGTCAATACGCCGAGACTGGAAATCATGGTGGTTCATGGGTGATGAAGCATTACATCTCGCTGTCTCACACTTTGTGTCTAGGTAGCGTACGAGTTGGTATATACGTACGATAACCCAGAGGCGATGTCTCCACCCACATTCAACGTAACTACAACTGGTCTTTTACCCGCAAGCCTCGAAGTCTTTGAGTGAGAACTCCTTCCTCTCTTGAAAAACCCCTTTGGAAATATGAGTTAGGAAGGAGATTTAATTTTTTAAAATTATTTTAGGATGAGATTCCATTGTAAGGGCCTGGAGACTGTGGAGGTGGACGGGACCTTGAAGGTAAATTTCACGACGACCGTAGACACTATTTCTCTTCAGCTTCGACGCAAGAAGATCTGCTTCAAAGGTAGACTGTTTCCGTAACTCTCATCGGGCGACACATGAGATATAACACAATAATTTGGTGGTATGGGAATGTACAGGCGAGCAACATATGGCAGGACAGGCAGAAACCAATTCCAGCCTTGGAGTTTACATTGCATCTGGTTGCATTTGCGGCCTCATCGTCACCTCTACCCTCATATTCATCATTTTCTACTGGAGACACAAACCATCCCACGGGTATGAAATCACCTTATAATTTTACAATATGCGTCAAAAAGTTATTACTCCCTACCAGTGGTCTTCCTCATTGAGTAAACACGGAAGAATATGCAAAAAATCGCGATGTAAGTATTATTGTTTAACTTATATATCGTTAAACAAATCAGGGCATTCGATGAAGGTCATAAAATATGTTTATTGCCAATAAGGGACTTCAAAATAATTCGCACCTCATTTTTGGAAGAAAATATCCCGTAATTTTCTCTAAATAAAATAGGCAACAATTGAATCCGGTAACATCGAGACACGAGTGATGGCAGGGAAATGAATAAATGCAAGAAGTATGTATTTGGATATAGCCTGACAGCTCTGGTAGCTAAGGTAATTTTATCTATGTGTGAATGATTCATAAGCGACTCGCTCGACGAAAGCTTTCTCATCGATTGGTGTTCTCGTTCTTTCTTATACTCGAGTAGGCAAGGGTGTAAGGAGCTGAAATACGAGGCGGTGGGAGGGAAGTACGTACAGGCATCCTCGGGTGAGAGCATGAGGAGCGGGAGTTATGCCACCATTTCCTCGTTCCAGAAGGTGCCCTTGCACCAAAGCAAGGGTACCTTACCCGATCGGGTACCGTGGCGTTCCGGGAGCAACCAGCGCGTCTCTTCTACCTCATTTTCCCCGTCTTTCACTAGGAAAACTTCCCCCGTCTACTACTCGACTCCTCAAAGGATCGCTCCAAAGGTTCGTATCTCATTCATGGTTCGCATCGTTCTACGGTTCGTGCGTTAGTACGACCGGAGTTTTTTTTTGGGTGGACTGGAACGTTCGCACTTTCGAGAACGATTTTCCTTCTCGGCGGTAGAACCAACAATACACGTGAGATTTTCCATCAGCCGAGGTGATGACTCGATTCCTCTTGCGATGTAGATGCAAGAATCGGAGTACGTGGTGAAGCCTCCGACAGGATCCGGGGCAAGCCTGGCGGAGATGATGAAAGACTTGGCCATGGACCACAGTCGATTGACCTTCAAGACTCTCTTGCAGGAAGGCACCTTCGGCCGGGTCTATCTCGGCATTTACAAGCCCCCTTCTGTCGACAAGGGCCAGGACGTCCTCATCAAGACCGTGGCTGGTAAGCAACAAAAAACCATTTATCACTGGAGGCACTGGAAAAGTAACACGGCTCGGAAAGACGGAAATCCCTTGTTTATGCATTCTTTGGGGGTCTCTGTGGAACGAGTCCAAAGAGGATGTGATAGGGTTTTCCTTCCAGAACGGAAAAAAAACTTGACTTCATCCTTCCAAGAAACACATCCAGACGGCTTACTCATCTCTGTCTCTGCGGGAGGGAAAAATCCCCCCCCCCCCCCCCTGGATATAGTCACATGTGAATTCTCGTAAGCCTTTTCACTGTACGAGTTTTTTAGCTTCGGTTTTCTGTCTGTAATTCACCGCAAAGCAAAAATTCGCCGCACGCCAATCCAACGTAGAGCACTTTGAATCTCTTCATTTCATGCTGGCAGCAGATATTCGATGATTAGAATGAATATCTATTTCTTCAAAACGTCAAAAGTAGATATCAAAAAGCTGAAAAGCGACTGGAGAGCCAAAAATCATCTCATCTAGAAACCGATGTTAGCTCTGTTCTTGAAGATCGAGACCCCTTTCGGTCCCGAATAGAATCATATTCTCGTCCTGTCGATGTGAGTCAAAACGAAGAACATACGTCTGTCAGGTATTTCGATATTCTTCAAAGATGACCAAGACTAGGATCTTGAATGTCCTAGCCAGGAATGTGAAGGTGGAGAAGAGATAGGAAGGCGCAGTGGAGCTCGTAATACAATCTTGCTCTCATACTTGGCTGGAAGTATAGGATGAGCGAAAGCGGCTGATCAAACTGACCCGAAGTAATGTGTGGAACGTACCTGTACTTGGAACCGTATGCCGTCTCTCACTCTGTGGCCTCCTCGGCAACGTTGAATTCCGTGCTTGTGATTTTCAGGCCGTGGCTACATTTATACGGACGATGTACAATCTTACTCTGAACATGTAATGATGAGCAGTGTACTTCCCTTTCCTCTCGCACACCGAAGTGTGCTGAAGAAGCTGCTCCGATTCGTACGTAAGGAGACTTACTATTTCCATTTTTCTCCGTTATTTCAAAATAATTCAGAGACACCCAGGTCACCCAAGAGCTTTTCTCCCTTTTTTTTTTCTCAATTGGCGAAAGTGACGGTATTTTTTTATGGTATGAAGCGCTGCGCCAAATATGCTTGTAATCATCACATACATATATATCGATTCACTGCAGATGGTGACCTAATGAATGTCAATCGCATGCGGCCAGAGAGAAATCGCTTTCCAAATCTGGTTAAGTGCTTTTTATGCGAATACCCATGCGAAGAATTGGCACAAGATGAGCTAGCTACGATAAATTGTCTTACCTGCTGCACACAAGCAAGTCAGTCGACTTGCTTGTGTGCAGCAGCTTGTGACAGCAGGTGAGACAGCAGGTGAGACGATACGTCGACAATGGACAGGACCCCCTATTGCTTACTTCCCTCATTACTGCGAACTTCGTCCTTAAGAAGCTGGATGTGACTTTTAAATGATTACGCAGATATTCTCGATTTAAAACTGTGGCCGAAAGGTGATTAAGAGCACCCGTACCTAATAATGCCCGGATGAGATGCTTGAACGCGAAAGTTTGTTGTATTCATCCTTTCCCAGAGCACTCGTCTTCGGTGCAGAGAACCTTACTCCTTGGCGAAGGACTGCTGTTGTTCGGGTGTTCCCATGCAAACCTTCTGTCTGTGATCGGGGTGTCCGTCCAGGATACACCCTGCCTCGTCTACCCCTTCTCCTCTGGAGGCAACCTCAAACTGTATGAGTCCTTTTTTTTCCGACACTGTATATACGGTCTCGAGGTGATACGAGATGTGAGGATGATATGGCAGGTTCCTTCGTTCGTGTGTCGTGGGTCCGGAGGGAGCTATGCATCCGCTGAAGACCCAGCAGGTCGTGGAAATGGCCATCCACATCTGCGCTGCTGGGGTTCATCTACAGCAAAAGGGTATCACGCATAAGGACATCGCCACCCGAAACTGCGTGTAATCCATCCATCTTTCTTATTCTCGTTGGTCTATTAGGTGGAAACGAAGGAACAAAAACATGCATGGAACCGAGTGATATTTCTCTTCTTCCATCAGGTTGGACGAGAGGCTTCGAGTAAAGGTGACGGACAATGCTCTGTCCCGGGATCTTTTCCCCGAGGATTATCATTGCCTCGGGGATGGAGATAACAGACCCATCAAATGGATGGCCCCCGAGGCCCTCGATCACAAGATCTTCTCTCACTCTTCCGACATGGTTTGTCTCCATCTATATAGAGAAGTCTATATGATCTATCATCTTGACAAGAACGAGGGAAATAAGCCAAGACAAGCCAGAATTTAGCGCAATATTGACGCATAAAAAAAAATAAAGAAACGCTGACGCAGTCTCTAGCATTCAAATTGCAAATATGATCGATCAGCTATAATATCCTACCAAATTTGATGCAACTTAGTTCTTAAACGTGCAATTCGATACAATGGGCGTATTTTGGATAGGAGGGATTTGCATCGAAACAATAACGCTATATCGTCTTCAGCAACCCTCCAGACTATATCTATACTTTTAGGAACTATGAGGAATTTCAATTTCAATTTTTTCTTTTTTGCTCCAGTGGTCGTATGGGGTGTTGCTATGGGAATTGACGACTCTGGCCCAGGAGCCGTATGCAGAAGTTGATCCATTCGAAATGAGTGTCTGTCTTCGGCACGGAGTCCGACTCGCACAACCTCACAATTGCCCAGACCAACTGTAAGTGGATCCATTCGAAACGAGTGTTTTTCTTCCACTCGTGGTCCTCTTGCCCGACCCCACGATCGCCCAGACTAACCGTAAGACTCCGCAACCATCGTCCTTGGAGGAAATGGAAAGCTGTCTCAAATGGGGATTCTCAGCATGAGAGACGGTCGATGGATGTTTTTATGAACTTTCTCCCCTTTCCCCAAAGGCTTTCAGAGTTTTCTTTTCACAACGGGAGTTCCGGACGGGGGACGGGGGTAGATAAACTTTTCATAGACGAGAAATGGATGGGGAAGCCTTTTACCCTTAGTCCTTGCCTTATCTGTTCTGCCTTGTCTTTTGATCTGAGCAAATGGGACGAAAACAGAGGAAGAGAGTGTCTCCTGGGGATACTCCATTATCCGTCTATAGATGAGACTCCCTAGACCCCCCTCATACCAAAACTATGTGTCTGTCTGCCAAACCTCTTTTGTCGTTAGCGAGCCTTTATCCTTCCTAAAATAGGTCCCCAGAGGATCAGAGGGGGTCCGAATTCGATTTTCCCTACATTCTGTTGATTTGCTTATTTTCACTTCTTCCCAGATTTGGCGTGATGGCGGTTTGCTGGGAAACTCTGCCAGAAGATAGACCCTCTTTTCCTCAACTTTTGGTCTTCCTCGAGGAATTCCAATCTTCTCTAGGGAATTACATCTGATCTGGTGAGTGATTTCGGATGCGATTTCATTTCAACAGTTTGTGGTTCTGTCTTAATGGGGCTCGCATCGACTTGTATAGCGATTAGAGATATCTTGGGGATGAATGTGGCGGTGCGCACTCCCCGAGTTTCAAGACGAAGGCTGTGATAAGTTTTTCTCTTTTCTCTCTCTCTTTGATCGTTGTATTTATTCAGTGTTGAACGTCGAGAATAAAGAAAAAAAATTCTAGACATGTTCTCTCTTCTTTCCGGGAATTACATTCATTAATGAAAAGATGCACAAAGAGCATCTGGGATGAGGATGAGGGAGAAGTACAAAGACCTCCATGAAGCCTGGAGGAAAACGAGTCCTGTATTATGGAAGACAAATTAAGACCGTAACATGCGCTTGTCGTCTAATGCCTTCCTTTCACCTTCTCTTCTTCATATCTCCTTCCATTTTCATGAAAGCTTTATGAGGGGACTGAGTCTTACAGACATCAGAGAGAAATGAGGGCAGAAGAGATTGTATGTTTGGGATGTTGCACGTCCGTCCTCATGTCCTCATTTACCTGCCACATGTAATGATAATGAGTAGGGGACTGTGAAGGGAGAACTTCGAGGAACACAAAATATGCTTCTTGAAAAAATCACGGGAAAAACGTGACTCATTTGCACCTCTAGGGATGATGACGCTGGATTTCGTCAGTTCGTCTGGAAAGATTGTTTCGACTGAATGGAACATCTCCCTAACAACTGATCACTCTTTCTTACGAAGGTCTCAGAGAGAATAGGAAAAGTAAAAAATCATCTCATCTTTCAGAATTTAATGTCTCCCGAATTCCTCGTGGAATTCAGAGAAAGATAGCTGCAATATCAATGCATGTCTTTCTTATATCGAACACGCGGTGGAGTGTGCGCGGATGAAAGCGTGGGCACACAGGGCTGGGACAGAAAAAGAGAAAGCTAATAATGAGACGGTTTCACGGTATATCTGAGGTTGAGAGAGAGAAAGAAAGAAAGAGAGAGAGAGAGAGAGGGAATTACTGTTGGCACGTGGGGGTCATAATGGGAGAAAGGAGGAATGATGAAAAGCATCTCTCATCCCTTCAATCTTCCCTGATCTTATTGAACCTTCTCGGATATCACTCTTTTCTTCTCTTTCATTCTTCCCTTCCCTTCACCCAGGATAAAATTATACTCCTTTCTCCTCGCTTCCTTGGACCCAATCATTCCAGCTATCCTCCTCTCTCAAACGTGTTTGTTAATTTCAAAATGGAGTCATCCTTCCATGAATGCAAGCTGGGACTCAGCAAATTGAAAATTGATTTCTCTCTTCGTTCACAAGAGAATTTTTTCTTTACGTAGCGTCAAGGTATCGGCGCATTTATTTTACTTTCAATATCACCAAAGCGTTTATTATGTAATTTCCATTAGTCTGTTAAAAGATCATTTTCATCGTGTTAGTTATGATTCTTCTTTTTTCGTACTTTTTTTTACGGAAGCTAAAGCAGGACGTAGAAACCACCAAGAGGAAAAGCATTGTAGCGTTGGCAGGAAGTGTGTGAGCTGAGACGAGGAAGGAGAGGTCTCCTGACAGTCAAACACAAAGGAGCTTCGTCGTGTTCATGCATATTTGAAAATGGGAAAAATTGGGGGAGATGGAAGCCGGAATTATTTACAAGCAACGGCTTATGTCAGAGAACCATCAAGTCAGACAGCTGGGAAAAAGATAAAGAAAATTGCCAGGAATATAAAGGGCACGGAGGAAAAGAAAAGAGGGAGCTAGTGATTTGATTAAGGGTCCCAATGGGTGCACCCAATGCGGTTTGTGTAGGATACCATCGATTTACCATTCAGAGCGTGCTCTTTTCCACCGGAGCACTCCCCTCTTTACCTGAATGCTCCTTAGTGTCACGGAAAAAGCTAACGACGGTAATCATCTCCGATGGCTGGCTTGATGGTTCGAGAAACAGGCGGAGTTCAAAAGACGAGGAAATATCTTTCGCAAATAATTCATGTCATAAGCGGACGAAGAAGCGGAAATCTTGGAAGAAAGGACGACTTATGAAAGGCGGCACGCGACTTCAAAAAAGGGGCAGCTCATATTTCTTTTCTAATATCGCGCTTTTCAGGAACGAGTCATGTGTTTATAGGGTAGGAGACAAGACAGGAAGCCTATTCCAGGACGGGGGCCTCCAATATTTGCCCCGATCCATTTCGCATGAGATATTTGCTCTCGCAGAAGGGAAGAGGAAAAAAAAAAAGGCAGAGAATGGATAGAGATGGAGATAGAGACTCGTTTTCTCCTTCTTCCATCATTCATTCTCTCTCTTTCTGACTTATCTCTCTCTCTCTTTTCCTCCTTCTGTCCTGGTCTCCTTCTGCTAATAGGATTCGGATCGTTTTCCGGCGCTTCTCTCGGTATATACGGTGCAATGAAGAATCCTTCACTTGTCATTCCCCCTTTTCTGTTAGGGCCAAGCAGGACTTTGGAGGGGGGGAGGGCGTTTTAAGGTCATCTGCTTGGTTGATGGTGCTGACTATGATTATGATGATGGTGATGATTCTCACCCTTTCAGATTATGATAATGATTATAGTGATGATCCCTTTTTGATGATCATGATTATGATTTTCTTCGTGGTGCTTGTATTATCATCATGATCACGATCAAGTTATTCTCGATACTTACTTAAACGCGATGAAAGAAGTCAGCAGTAATATGAAGACCTAGAAAATCATGCGCAAAAGCTGTTGCTACTTCTAATGATACTAGCCACAATGATGTCGATGATGGACACAAGTGGACGACAAACGAGAGGTGTGCTATTTGCATGCTGACGATGGTGAGGCTGATGAAGGCAGGAAAGAGTGAAGAAGTCTGCCTCTTCATCTAGGATCCCATCGTTGATGAGTGCAAAAGAGGAATACGACGGAGTAGATGTTTCCTTCCTCCAGGGCAACTGGGGCCCTGAAGGAGAAATCCTCCACTAGTCACGCCAGGCCACATCCTCCTTTGTTCAAACTTGAAGGAAAGCAGAGAGAGAAGGCAGGAAGGAGCTGCTTGTGTCTCTTCGATCCCACATCGATCCCTAATGGGTCGCATGAGGATCAAGGATGATGTTATCCCCTCACGGCAACAGGGGGTAGAAATGGGGAAGGTGCCTTACCTATAAGACTTACACCTCCCTAATGACGCCTGCATTCCATCCTTCCTCCCCCCCGTCGTAATTACACCTAACTGGTGCGTAATTACCTTCAGCATATAAAGGCGCTTGTATTGACATGCTGGCTCGGGACGTGGTTCCCCAACAAGCAACAAGACTGAGCGTACGAGAGTAACAAATGTTGCACGACGCGTGTCCAGAATATAGGTTCATATCCTGGTTCAGGTAGGATTTTCCCACCATTTCATGAGAAACTAAATTTATAATTTTTATTTTTATATGGCGTTTTGACTCATCACCAGCTTTTATGACGTGATTCTCTGGATCAGTCATATTACAACCTCATTTGCTAAAGTGAGTCTTAGACGGTTTGGCGCCACCCAAACAAGAAATCTCAGACCAAAATAAGGCAAAAGGAAGATACTGTAGAAGTGAGAGAGGGAGGAAGAGTGCCAAGACCTGTCGCTTTGCGGGGAAAATAACATCGGGTCGGGAACGTTCCCGACCCTCCGAAAGGGACTTCTGGTTTCTCTCAAGCAGAGGAGGCAAAAAAAATATTTTCCAGAGGAGGGGGGTGGGGGGAAGTTTCCAAAAAAAAAAAATCATCCAACTGTCCAACGTCGATTCCGTCCCTTGCGATTCACCGTTTCAACAGAAGTGATCGATACCTGCCTTTTTTGTAAAGAAAAGGACAAAAGGAGGAGTAAGAGGGGAGAGTAGAGAGGCCCATTTACCCCCGCAGGAGGAGGTTGGTTGATGAAAAATAAACAGTGAGTCTGTTGATACATCCTCATTCCTCCTTTGAGGGAAAGAGGAGACCCCCATTTTCCCCTCCAGGTCGTCCCTGTCTCTCTCCCTTCTCGTCCTCTCCCTCATCGTCTCATCGTAAATACAACAGATAACAAAGAGTTTCTTCATCATAACCCTCCAGATGAAAGCATTTACGATGTCCTTAGGTACAGATTCTTTTTTTTTCTGCCATCTAGAAAACTTGTAATCGCGAACAGATTAAATATCGACGAGAGTTTTCATCTATTGCAGAGTGTTACATTCATATAAAGTGAGTACTGATCGCTCAAATGGAATGCAATATCTTGAACTTTTTTTTCTCAAAGAAAATGAGTTTCAATCACAGCGAGTGCGAAGTCTTTCCATTAATCCCAAGTGCTGATATTCGGGGATATTTCCTTTGAACTCTCATGCAGTCGTGGAACGTGGCTTGCTACCAGAGGGGTTCTAACCCCGTCTGATACTCATCGATTGGGAGCGAGAAGTTGCATGGATTTCTCCGCCCTGTAGGAAAGGATTCTTCCAAGGTTACCAAAACAGATTCCTTCTCCGTAGCGCCTTAATAGTGCCATATTATGCGGGGAGAATGACTTCTTAGGAAGGAAACCTTGCGATGAAAACAGGTCTGAGGCTCGTTGAGGACAAAACGACGAAGCAACTCATTATGTGAATGTGTGACGGAGAAAACCCCCTCCCTCCTCCTTCTTCCCCCTCTCCCCCCTCCTCCCCTTTTCGCCCCCTCTCGCCTTCCGTGGTCCAGACGTCCAAAAAACTTCTTCTAGCACGGAGAAACAGAGGAGTCAATCTAGGCAAGGTTTCGTTTTCTCGCTTGCAAAATGTAATTAACGCATCATCGTCTTCCCAGAAGTAATAATCAACTAAACCAAGATCGAGAACTATGGGAAGGATGAGAGGAACGAGTGGAATCGTGAAGACGGTTTTTCTTCACATGATAAGTAACAATGGACACCTTCCTTTTTAGAATGCATCGTTGATAATAAAATAATGGTTTGCGCGAGTTATACTGAAATAATAGTCGAATCGCAATACTTCGATGCTCCGTTGTCTATCCCCGATCGACAGAGACGTACGACCGGGGGGGAAGAAACCTCCGCCACGAAAGAGCATTCCGAGCGGTGGGAGGCTCGGTGCCATCCCGCCTCAGCCTTCTACGAAAGCGTGCGTCTGCATGATGAATGGAAGACGG